AATACCATCAACGTGCTGGAGAAGAGCTACAGGAGCTATTCTAAAGAAGACCGTCCAAACCCGACTATTCTATCCCAAAGGCCTATAGAGTAATTACTCTTCTAAGCTGCCTAGGCAAAGTAATAGAACGGATAATAGCTAAAAGACTCAGCTACCTAGCCGAGACTATAAGCCTTCTACACAACTCACAGATAGGAGGCAGATTAAAGAAATCAGCTATCGACGCAGCTCTCCTACTTGTAGATCAAATCCAGCACCAAAAACAACAAGGCTACACTACATTAACAGTCTTTCTAGATGTTAAAGGAGCGTTCGACTACGTTTCCCACAACCAGTTCCTAAATACACTAAAAAGGCTAGGCCTACCTATCAGCCTAATCACCTGGGCTAAAACCTTTCTGTCTAATAGATCCCTAAGGCTCGCCTTTGACGGCCAAATAGAAGACTTTAGCGAGATTAATGCGGGCATTCCACAAGGCAGCCTAGTATCTCTAATCTTCTTTCTGATCTACATTAGAGATCTATTCCACCAAATAGATGGATTTTAGCTCTCCTATATCGACGACATCTCCATCACAACCTCATCAACGTCTATTAAGAAAAACGTTAAGATACTACAACAGGAGGTTAAGAAACTAGTTACTAAAGGAAAAGAACTAGCTATCGAGTTCGATATAGCGAAAACAGAGCTAATCCACTTTACAAAGAAGAAAGAAAGAAAAGAAATCCCCCTAGAGCTCCCTAGTAAGGAGAAAATCTACCACAAAGATACGATTAAGTGGCTAGGGGTACACCTTGACAATAAGCTATCCTTTCGAGGACACGTAGCTATTCGAGCTAGCCAAGCAAAAACAGCTTTTAATAGACTAGGGAGACTAGCGAATATAGACCACGGTCTATCCCCCTTTGCTATTAGACAACTATATCTAGCATGCGTTACGAGCATTGCAGACTATGGGTCGCCAATCTATTGGCGCAACTAGAGCTTTATTAAAGATTAGCTTCAGCCGCTACACAACGCAGCTTGTAGAAAGGTACTAGGAGTATTCAAAACAGCTCCAGCTATCCTAATAAGTATCGAAGCTAGCTTGCCGCTACCAGCTATACGGCTAAGCCAAATAAACTGAAAATACGCTCTACGAGCTATACAACTAGCCTAAACCTATCTAATTATAAAAGCTATTATAAGACTATAAAAAACAAACCTTCAGTAATTAAAACAGCTAAAGAAACCTAGACAACTACAGGCCATTATGAGCTCCATCCCATCTACTACAGAGATAGAAGAAATCGTCCTATATCGGTTCAGACCATGGGACTCTCTCAACTATAATATCTATATATTAAAGAAATCTAAAGTAGAAGAGGCAGCCGCGCATAAAGATTATATCCAAATAATAGAGGATAACTCTATAGTAATCTACTTAGACGCCTCTAAAACTAAAGACGGAGATGGGATAGGAGTAGGCGTAGCAGTCTATAACCTAAACCAAGAAGAAATCCATCTAGAGACAAAGAATATAGGCGAGAACCAACTTGTCTATAACGGAGAGCTTGAAGGCATTATAATAGCCTTCGAATACGCGGCTAAAGTAGCTCAAAAAGACCAAAATATCCACGTTTACGCTGACAACCAAGCTGCTATATATAGGCTTCAGAGTCTATTAGATAAGCCTGGTTAGCAGTGGGTAATTCGGTGCCAAAAAGCAGCTAAAGCTATCCTAAACAGAAAAGCAAAGATCTTCTTAAAATGGGCGCCAGGCCACACAGATATAGAAGGAAACGAAAAAGCAGATTCCTTAGCAAAGGAAGCTACAAAACAAACACCAAAAGAATCAAAAACAAGTCTAGCCTTTATAGGCACTAAGATCAAGCTCCTTTAAAGAGCTAGCCAGGCAGAAGAGTGGAGAAAGTATAGGGAGAAAGCAAGAGAAAAGAAGACTAGCTACGGAGCTATCTTTAACCTTAAGCTGAAAAACCAACTAGTAATCCCAAGAGGCACCAAAAGAGAGATTTCAAGCTCTTTCTATTCTCTTAAGATAGGGCACGGATACTTCAATGCTTATCTAAAGAGAGTAAAAAGAAGAGAAACAGAACTCTGTAAATGCGGAAGACCACAAACAGCAGAGCACCTACTTCTATA